TGCAGGCCCAGGACCACAGCAGAAACTACAAGGAGAGGGAAACAGGGTAATGATGAACTAACATCACTTTTAAATTATTTAAAAAGTATTAATATTATTATTATTTAAAGTATTTGTACAGAAATAATGGAAATTTTCATTGGTTTCAGTCATTCCCTCCATTCTTATTTCTGCATACGCATTGAGGTGTGGTAAGCCACTGAGAAATGTGCAGATGCAAATACAAGCAGTGAGCCCCATCATAATGTCACTGATATGGTTCAATTAGAATAGGCCCAATATTCCAATTTTATAGAAATTTGGTATCATAAACATTACTGTTCTGTTACTTTGATTGTTGAAAGCAAACACGGAAAAGACCATTTGTATCAATATAACCCTGTTAAAGTACTCCTCTGACGCCTAAATAAAATTCCCGAATGATGCAAATTGTGCAGGCTGATTTTAAATAGCTTGAATTTAGGTCTCTGTTCCTTCCCCTTGGGTAAGGGGGAGGGCAAATCTTTTGAATCTAAGGATCTGTCATCCTACAGGACATGTGTGTAACTCCTGATGATGAATACTGCTGGTTAAAATCCTATGCAAAGCTTCTGTTCTCTTACAGAACACCCTGTGATGATTATTTTTGGAAATTATCCATTACATGTATGTAATTGTAGTTATATCCAATGTGTCACTGCATACGTGTACGTGCTTACCTTTTATTTCAGGATGATTTTCATTTGTTAATAATTTTGAGAGAAATGAAAGCTCTGTTCGTAAAGGGCAGTATGCCCACCCATCCACCCACATCTCTAGTATTTCTAAGATTTCTACAGAAAAACTCATGCAAGAAGCTAGTAATTAACTTGGGGGAATTCTGGCAAGAAAGCATCCTGAAAAACTGACCTCATCTGGGGTTAGGTCTAAGGTAGATCTGGTACCTCATAAATGGATCTGATTATATAAGAGCAAAAATTTATATGCAGATAATATTGGCTGCTTTTCATTAACGGAAACTGCCCTTGTGCTGTCTTCCTCCAGAAGGATTATTAGGGAGCCACACAGTCTTCCTGGACTTCTTCCAGACTGTGCAGGCTTTTGAGAACTGTGCTTGTCTAACTCATCATGTCTTTTCTGGTTATTATTGCTGCCTTGCTTCTTCTCTGCCTCTTAAGATCTCAGTCTGTTCTTTTGTCCAAATTTTTACAGGACACAAAGCACCTTCTGGTTCCATTGCCCTTCCCAGTAGCTCCCTGCCATTATACAAGATCACTCTTTTGGCTTGGAGGAATGTGCCTTTTATACCAGCTCCCTCCCAAAAAAGCGAAGGGCTCCAAGTTGTTCAGCTGAGGGAGGACCTCAATTCCTCCCCTGTTCCCCCACCTCTGTGCTCCAGTTCTTAGGAAGATAAACCTCCATCCAAGCTGGCAGAAGCACTGGTGCTGCAGCCAAATGAGAGCTGTTCAGTATTGATGGCTGCTTGATGGTTTTGTCACACCTTTCCAGATAGTCTGCTGTACTGCCAAACCTGTGCTACAAAATAAATGCAGGACCCAGTTCACACAGCCGTTAGTTACGAGTAGTGCTCATAAAGCCAGACAGAATTTGAGGACTGGCAGCCCTGTTGGACAGCCTATTGCATCCACCATCCTTAGGCAGCCTCACTTGCCTGCTGCTTCATTCGTGTATTCCATTTCAAAGAATTAAATTTTCCACTCCCGTAAGGGTGCTGACACCTTTGCTATTAGTTTTTCTCCCATCTCTGTAATTCCCCCTGCCAGTAATATTCTAGCTTTCTCTCTATTCCCAATTATTAAGAGTTGTTAGCTGCATATAACTGCATTTGCCAAACACGGACTTTCTTCTTTTAGATCAACATGTATTTCTGTCACTCTCCTGTTTCTTAAACTTTAAAATTCTCTAATAGGAAATTCTGAAAACAATAAATAAAAATGTGCTCCCAGAAAGATTCCTATCAAAAATGCCAACCAAATGTAGTTCTGTTTTAAGCACCAAAACAGTACTGCTTTTATAGAATAGCTAATGGTAGTAAGGGTGCTTTTTAGTAGTGTATACTTCATTGAAAAGAACAGCTTAGAACTCAATTTAAATAGCTGAAAGCATAAAATCAGAGAAACTTATATCGCCAGTGATATTCAGTGTTGCTGTTGTGACACCTAACACCTACAGCAACATCAGTGTTGAAAAGCATTGTCCCATGTGAAGAAGAGGGATGCGTGCAAGGGTTAGAAATCCTGCAAGCAAATAAAGATTTTATTCCATAGCATCATAATGCAACATAAAGTCTACGAGTCGGTTTTGTACTTCTAGGCTTCTTCCTTTATAATGTATGAGAATGATTTGACAGTTTAATACTGCTTTGTGACACAAGGAATTTAAGCAATTGATCACGTCCAGTCAAAGATGCAGCTCATTTGCCAATATTATAGATTACAAGAATCTTGCTTTACCTATGGTGAAGTCATGTCTCTGAGGTGATGCATTTTCTGCCGTGAACCAAAGGAAAACTGCTTTGAAGCAATATAATGTTTACCTAGTGATACATGCTCATAATCTGGAAGAATCTTTTTAGAGTACTTAGTGTATGCTACGTGTTTTAAAGAAACAGATGCAGGATAAGTATAATTGTTTAGCAGGCTGTGGTGTATTTTTAGATGCTCTGCATTACCAAATTGCATGATCAGGAATTGTAATACACAGATAAAACAATCCTTGTTAAGATTATTACAAAACAAGTTTCAGTGTGTTTTTTCTGCATTTTTTTTCTTTTTGGCAGCATGGTATGGGCAAGACAACACAGGCATTTTTAGAATAGTTCTTTTTGAGTATATTTAAATTACTTCTTACTATGAATCATGGGTAAGGGAAACCATAGAATTCATTAGAGATAAAAGGTAAAAGCCTGTTGATAAGCGGGATCATTCCAGCTGTAACCAGGTTAGGAGAATGGATTAGTAGTTGCTTCATTTTTACATTTTGAATTCAATGTAAGTCTTAGGCTTTGAGTTTGGCCTGGGTTTCTCCCGCTGGACAGCACGCACTACTTTTTTTTATTGAAAAATTAATCAATATATCCATTTGGTTTAATTTTGTTTCAGTTGATTCTGAGCCTTTCTTTGGTGATAACTATTATTAAATTTCTTTTTACTTCACTATCATAAGAAGAAATCATTTTGAAAAACAGATTTTGGTTGTTTCTACTGATTTTTTTTTTTATTTTTTTTTGTACTAATGAAGATAAAGGTAACACACAAAAGAGAAGAGCAAATTAAATTGCTTGCTCTTGGATTCCCTCTAGACATGTATAATTAATAAAACTTCAGTTCAGCTGACATACCCAGGACAAGTAGGTAAAATTTTGGATTTTAAGTAAACCTGAAGTTGTTTTGCATTTCAAAATTGAAGTCCCCATTAATTTCAGACTGGGAAATATCCTTTGTTAGATTTTTTAGGAGGTATTTAGTATTGTTTAACCTTCCTGTCACATTATATTAGGAACTAAAGCATAATTTTAAAACAAAAATGAGATGTTCCATTTTGAAAACAAAAGCAAATTATTTTGACTTAAAAATAAAAATATCATCCCATCAAAACAGGTTTTAATACACACAGTAATTTCTCTACTTATTTCTATTGAATGTCTATAATAGTTGATGAACAGAACTACAGCAGCTATTTGAATGTTTTCACCTTTCATTTATAATACAAAAGTTGAAGATACTTTAGTTTTCCGTAGTGAAGATCTTATGGAGGGCAACCCAATACTTAGAAAGAAATATGATTTCTTATTCCCTAAATATTTAGCTCGTGCTTCCCCTCCTGTGTTCCCAAATAAGGCTGTAAATCATAGACCTGTTCTTTAATATGGGCATTCTTTAGCCAGTGCAGCCCTATCGTCAACCTTATCAGAATGAGCAACATTACAATCCTTTTTTTTCAGGTCTACCACATTTTCAGGAACAAAATGATTTAAAGGGATTGCTAGAAAATCTCCATCAAAATATCCAGGCCAAAAAGAGGAAGAATATAGAAATCATGTGGCTGGCTGCGACGGTAAGCTCTCGTTTCAAATACGTTCGCACAATGAACTAGTTTTCACATGCCTGCTGTAAGTGCAATGGGTTTTAAGGATATGATGGGAAAACTCAGCGGTTAAAGTAGGTAGATATGCTGAAATGGCGCTCTAACATTCCCATTCCAATAGTCTCTCATCCCACTCATGAATGCATCTCTTCCTACACTTAAATTACAGATATTTTCTTTCTCTCACTTTAACGGGTAGAACTGGCTAGAATTCAAAGCGAGAGATGGTCTTGGTCACTTTGTTGTCACCGGCATCCTGCAGGCCCTTTTCTGCAGAGCTTCTCCTAGCCAGACAGTGGCCTGTGCTGCTGCTTGAGGTTATTTTGGCCCCGATACAGGATTTTTAATTTATCTCAGTGAGACGTGTAACATGGTAAGAGAGGTTTGCTTTTTCTATGGGGCATGTTTTTCCTTTAGCTGAGTCTGGTTTTATGCAGAGGAATCTCTTCCTCCCCAGTATGGGCAGATTCAATTCCTTGGATGATCATGCATAGCAGTAAATATATCGCCTCACATGAGAGAGACAAGACAGCATTCTGCTACAGTATCTAACTTATTTGTTTAAAATCATGTCCATTCTTTGATAATATGAAATTTGGTTATTGAAAAGATCTTCCTTTTGTTTAGCATCTATAACCCTTAAGGTATGATGCAGGACATGATTACTTGCTCTGGCTTTTGTTTAATATTGCTGCACTCAACTTTTGATTTTCTGTAATTAAGATATGTTTTATAAATAAGTGTTTCATTGTATCCGTACAACTTTTAGTCAGTCGCATGTTATGGGTTTATTTAGCCAGTGTTGCCATGATAGCCACTCCAAGTAACACAAAATAAGCTAGATATGCAAAGGGCAGATGTTCAGACACAGAACACAAAGCAAACTGTTTATCAAACAATGGATAATAGTTACTTTGCTTTAGTCACATAATTCCTTTTTGTTTCTCATTTCTGTGTTTTTGCACATACATTTTAAAAAAAAAGCACAAACCACCCTTAGATGTTTATAAGGAGTGCAAGCTTTTCAGGAATGTGAAATTCAGCCAGGTAATTGTCTTAGACTTAGAAAAGTACCCTTGGTGGCTCTGCCCATTTGTACAAGCAGAGACCTGAGTCTTTGCTATCTACTGAAACTGAATTAAGACCTTGTGTTTTGGGGAACTTTCAAATGCATATACCCTTCAAGGCAAGTAAATATTTGATACAAAATATTCATAAATTTTTTCCATGACTACTTATTAACAACAGGAACAAGACAATATTAACTATGTCTGTGTTAATAACACTATTTTTTTATATTGCTAATAACATTTTGCCTTGTGGTTAATAAATATTGTCACATGCTATTGCAATATAAATCTGTTGTGAGTAAAAATACAAGCTTTTCTTGCAGTATCAGTTCTACAATTACTATGAAACATTGCTTTTTAAAGAAGAAAAGATAAATCAGTACAGGATAGTATAAAATGAGCTACAAAGAATATGACAGAATTTACTTAATCTTTGGATAGATTGAGAAAATTGTCTTCTACCATCTATTCAGTATTTCTTGAAAATAATTTAATGAGTAAAAAGCATTCTTTGGACATACAACTGTTTCAGATTTTTCCTTCACTGTGTTCTATTTCTCTTTACATTACCTTACTGTAACCTTACTGTAAATTAGTACTTCTGGACCCATGGATCTACACACTGTTATGCTGTGTTACATTAATTTATTGGAAAAGCATGATTCCCTGCTGTAAGGATAGCACTTTGTCATTGCAGTAGATGGATGAATGCTACATGGATATGCATACATATCTGCACCTGTGTGTAAACCCTGATGGAATGGGACTCTGAGAATACATCTGCATTTTAAAAGTCTACTTTTGTAAATTGGTATCACAAACATTTCTTATTCTAAATATAATGGGACAGAGATTTAAATGTTAGATATTTTTATCTACTAAGCTGGAGCCTTCATCTTATGTCTTGTATGAGGAATCAGAGTATTGATTTGTCCTCGTTTTAGCCTTTGTGGTTTTATATGCTTCTATTATCCCCTCTTTAAACTTAATCACAATCATTTAAATTTGTGTTCATAAGGGAAACTTTCAAAGGCTCTAATAAATGCTATGTGTATTTCTCATCCTCCTATATCTTCAGTGTATTTGGGGAAGAAGTGATCAAAATTGAGGATAAAATTCAGGCTGGACACACATTGTAAGCTGTGCATTCTGATATGATGATATTACCACATATTTGGTATTGTCCCTTATTAGATTTCTAGAGCATCAGATCATTGTGTTTGCCCGTTTTAATTATTTACTTAGTTCACTAAGCAGCAGAAGCTAAACAAAGTCATTCTGAGGCTTTATCTGGGCCAGCCTATCAAGTTAACCTACATTTCTCCTCAAATCAGAAGCTAGGGATTTTTAATTTGTTTATTTAAGTTAACAGATTGTTTTTCATTTAATCCACTTTACAATTATAGAAATGTTTGTATTGAACTTCAGTGCAAAATAAGCTTGTGGTTGTGGTCATTTGCTTGTTGTGCCTGGAATGCTGCTCAGTTCACAACTGATTCTCACTAGCCAGCACTTATATATATGCTGTCAGCCCAGATTTGGGATTTTGTCTCCCCTCCTCACATCAGAGGCCATCACCCATCCAGAATAATATTTTTTTTTCTCCTTATGACTCATTCACTTCAAAGAGTCCACAATGATTCATGGACTTCAGAAAAGACTAATGTAAAGACAACTAATCGCTTCAATTAAACACTTAACTGCTTTCACAGCATTATCAGCCCAACTTGATATTTTCTTTTAAAAAAAATAAATCTTATAGTACATTATTTAATTCCCAATGCAACTTTCCAAATTTTTAAACAGACTTAAGTTTTAAAACTTTGAATTACAGGAGGGAAGAAATACTCACAGGTTCTCCTTTACTAGCCTGTATTTCTTTGGATTCAAAGTTAGGTTCAATTAATTAATTCCCTGGATACAAATTTTAAGATTGCCCTCACCATCATATGACAGAGACCTTGAAGACTGTAAGTCTTGCTGGGCCATTGATTTTAATAGAAATTCTGAGGATGCAATCACTGGATAAAAAAGTGCTTGTTTGCTGAGGTGAGAGTATATAGACCATGTTCCAATTTCATCCTGCAAGATCCCAAGTAAACACTCAACAGCCAAGCTGAAAAGTTTCTTAGGATGAGGCCTAACGGCTGTAGTTTATTGCCTTGCCCTATTCTCATAACTGTTTCATTTTTTTGATGCTGTTATAGCTATGGCTGCCCAGGGATAAGAGCAAGCACAGCTGGGCAGAGGGTATTACCTTTTTTTAGGACAAAGAACATCAGGGGAAAGGTAGACCCATACCTGGGCATACCAGCTCTCCTTCAGATTTTTCTTTTTCTGGTAAAATATTGCTTGAACCCAAAGTAATGGGCTGGTACAACCACAGATTGATTCTTAAGGTGAGAAATTATCCTTAAAAATATGTCATGTTTTCCTTATCCCTTATAATTTTGTCAAAATGTCCAGTGAAAGTAGACACTCCATGGCAATCATTTGTGTTAAGCTTTACTTGTTCCAGTTCGTGCATTGAACAGTTCAGCTGTTGAAAGTAAGGATTGTGTTTAAATTCAGTGCATAGACAGATGTGTCTGAATCCCTGCCCTCAGTGAGGAGTCTTCTACATTCGTGAGTCGAAAGACTTGTCAAAGTTTCTTTTTGTTTTTTCAACATTCATTAGGTGTTCAGAGAATTAAGCTTGAATTGAATAGGGTCGTTGGCACAAAGTGAGGGAAAAATGAAGCAGCTTTTCCTTTTATAGTGTAGGCTAACACAAATACCTTTTATTTCAAGTTCAGGAAATTGGATGCAGTGCTTTGGTAAGCTGTGGTATGTGTAGACAGTGAGTGCCTTAACATGCCTAGGACTAAGAATTTTTTTTTTTTTTTTTTTGATCCACCATCAGTGTCATGTTTCACTTGGAGGAGAGGTGTTGGGGTGGACAGGACACAGACTTGATCAATAAGGGTTCCTTTTTCCTTAGCGGGCAGGTTAGTTGTAAGCTTGTACTGATAATGAAAGCCCGGAAGCTCTGCTTTTAAAATGTGTCATTTGGACAACGGAAATGGTTTATAGATCAGTAGCTACAATCTTTTGGTACTACTTTTGTAGAGTGTTAATGCTGCAAATTTATAAACAAAAGATAAATTTACAGTCCCTTTTACCTTTTGTACCCCTGTGTTAGGCCAGCATGGGCATAATCCTTAGAATATGAAAATCCCCAAGGCAGCACTAGTAACTGATTTAACTGCACAGACACACATGTCAGCGGCCATATGATTGAGGTTTGAGTTACTACCTTTTACTAGCAATTTTCTTCTTGAGAAATATTGTAGTTCTCTGTATTCATTGACTGTGGTTGCAAAATTGTGGGAGTTTCACAGTGTGCCTAGCGTGTAGAGAACGCGAGGTGTGAAAGGGCAATCCTTTGACGTCTGCCTGTGTTTCAGATTTGCCGCAAGCTGAATGGAGTCCGTTTCACCTGCTGCAAAAGTGCCAAAGACCGGACATCCATGTCAGTGACGCTGGAGCAGTGCTCCATCTTGAGGGACGAGCATCAGCTTCACAAAGACTTCTTTATTCAGGCACTGGATTGTATGAGAAGGTATGTGGCGATTATTGCACGTCCTTTGCATTTTGAACTAAGCCAGGAGCTGTGGCTGGATAGGCGCCACTCCTAATTTAGCAGAGAACTGACCAGCAGCATGCCAGCTACTGAGTCACTTCAGCAGGCACGGGCTTTGCAAATGCATGTTTTGTCACTAATTAACAGTTTCTGAGATAGATATGTGGAACCTTGTAAAGTGTCCCTTCACTGGCTGTGGAATTTGACCAAGGTAAATGGCGGTTATTTTAACAATTTCTTTGACTTTCATAAGGCTTAAAATTTTAACAACATTCTATGACCATATTAAAAAAACCACATTATTTTCTGTTTTAAGAATATTTGTGAAATATTTACACACTCATTCCATCATTTGTGTACAATTTAGACAAATATTGTGAAAGCAGAACAAGCATTTGTTACAGATGGCAGTTCCTATTAGGTCATGTTATTAAAAATAAAAGAAACATGCAAGTAGTTTTGGATTGATGGTGGTTGTCACTATATCTGATAAAATCTTTACTGTGCTTTAAAAAAAAATAATTCATTCTAAATTACAACTATGCAGAAATTGAGGCTGATGTTATCAGGAACGTGCAATTAAAAGATGTAAAGATTTCTGAATATCTGAATCTTTGATGAATTAAAAAACCTATTGAGCAAACAAGTTTTGATCGTAAAATGAACCCAGATGCTATCGTCTCTAAAGAAACTTTCGTCATTGGCTTTAATGAGTAGTGCATTGTATTTTCTATATGAGTTTTAAAAATATATCCACAACATTCAAATAATGTATTATAAAGGTCACTGCAAGACTAACCTAAAATATTCTGTTCAGCCTGCAAAGAAGTAACTCAATGATATCTTGCACTTATGTGAAACATAAATTGTTTGTATGTTAGATATGCAAAGAATGTATCAAAGTAAATAATCATGTTCAATGTCTGTAGTTGGTAATTCCTGATGTTAATATTTAGTATTGTCAGAGTAGGTGTTTAATGTGTAGATTACTACTGTAGGTTTACACATGTAGAGTCCTTTTGTCTTTTGGCAATGATACATATTCTAGAGAAAAAAGGTAATGTTTACAAAGAGTAATTGAAAAGAAGACTGAGATGGCTCAGGAGTTGGTCTGCAAGGTGCTAGAGCAGTGTGATGTATTAAACTGAGGTGTATTGTTTTGGATGTATCATTAGCTTGCATAAATCCCTGAGTCTCTGCAGTATTTCAGTGGATGAATGACTCTCATGTGCAGTCTTTCATAACTACATGTTTTATCATTAATGAAAAATTTTTGAGTTTTCTGTGTTCAATTTCATTTGTGTTGGCATTTCAAGTAAGTTTCTTTCTTTCATGTCTCCACTAAATACAGAAGTGTGTAAGTTACAGTAAATTACCACATACAGGCAAACTAATGATATAAAATTATTATTCTATTAGAATATCATTGAGCAGTAGATTGGAAAAGTTTCATAGATATAAACCTGATTTAAAAAAAAAAAGCCCTGCTATTTATACAAACTAACTTCTTAGTACAAAAGTGTACGTTTTTGTAGACTAAAATGTAAGCGACTTTCAGTGCTTTTATATCATATAACTGATCCAAGAGCTGAGAAGATTAACACATTAGTTATATTTGCAGATAGCAATAAACTGGAGTCACAAAAGAGTGGTGAAAGGCACACAGAATCTGGAGAAAACTTAAAAAGTAAATGCGCAGATGGGTATCTGAACTTGAAGCACCATCACAACAATGTTAGGTTTATGGTTTTGCTGTAGTTTTAAACAGAGAAAAGCTCTATCCTGCTAATATCCTGTAGATGAATTTGAAACAGCCTTGAACTGAAATAGTTGCTATGTTGGATGGAAGGTAATAATTCTGACTTGGGTGGTAGGATCATCTGGGACTTAAAGACAGGGCCTTGCGAGTGGCGGCAGCAGCGTACAAAATAACCTGCACTATCGGGATAATAAAGAAATACATCTTTTGCCTATGCTAGTTTCTGTCTGTGTAACACTGTTCACACTATGAGGTTAAAAAAAAAAAAAAGAAGAGCAAACTTTTTTTTTTCCTCAGGAGCTGGTGAAGAAAGCCCAAAAATACAGAGCAGAAGAATATAAATGTCAAAGGGGGATGCAGAGTACTTAACTTGTACTACCATTGAGAGTTGGTCAGATGGTTTGAGGAGCTGTCTTTGGGCGCTTTTTTGGTATCTTTGGTGCTACAGACTTTGGTCTGTATCACTATCTTTGATGCAGGGACTTGTTCCCTCCCCACTGCCCATCTGTTGCTGGAGGTGCTCATGGAGCAGCGCTGGAAGCGACGCAGGCTTTCCTCCCTCTGACACTGGCTAGGTAGTGTGGCAAGGACCCTCCAGCTGGGCTGTCGTCTTGTAGGCAGATGGAGAAAGATGCGAGCAAACTGGGAAGGAAAGAACAGCCAGGCAAAAGAGAGTGGGGGGGAAAAAGCCATCATTTCTACAGGAAGAAAGATAATGGCATTTCAACTAAATCTCCCATGTTCTATTTGAGGGAAGTTTGGCATCTACGTTTTTGAGGTTTGTGTGAATAAGGTCAACAGACTTGTTTGGTAGTTGTCATGATGCCTGCCCTTTTATCCTTTCTTTTTATTTGATTACTATTGCAGAACATTATTTGAAAGATTACTGTGTGCATTTCTAAGCTTTTCATTGACTACTTGTAGAAGCTTTTAGAATGATTTTCACATCTGAAAGAACCTATTTTGTTTTAAGAGTGGACAAAGAAAAAACTGTTTTGCCATTTCATTTATGATTTTAGCAATTTTCCCCGATGAATCTTCTCTAGATCACTTAGTTAAACTCTGTCAATCAAATCCCATTATGCTGATTGCCACAAATCACTTTTAAGCCTTTCAAAAGAACAAGTAGACAAGAAAAATTCAATTTTAACATCTAGAATCCTAACAGACTGGATTGATCTTTGAAAGCCTTCTTTCAAGGGGTAACAGTAGGAGATAGAGAGTACTGGGAAACAAAGTGAGTTGTAAAAGTAAATGGCGATTCAAAAGCAGCTTTTATTGGAAATGCCATAATTTTTGAGGTATGAAAATTATAAAGCTGCCTGTGTAGCTGTAAAGCTTTTTCTTTTCCTGCCAGTGCTGACACAGCTTTGGTGGCAGTTGTAAAAGGGAAGCACGTGCTTCTGGGTTTGTGCTTTCTTGCCACCAGAAGTTTGGAGGTGCTGGACTTTTGTGTGCTGATGCTTTTCAGCTTCTCTGATGTTCCTAGAATTTTGAGCAAACCAGAGGCAATGTCTAATGTTTCAGTTTGTTTGCTTCAATGTACACTGCACAACGCTGTTTTGGAAAATACTGCCAGTAGCTGCCATTTAAGACCTTGGTTTGTAAGTGGAATCAGTGTCTTGTAGTGATAAACTACATGATGTTTATTGCTTCTTAAAAAAAAAAAAAAAGCAGCAGCTGTGCAAAAATCCTTCCATTAGCTGTCCTTTTAGCTTATGAAAGATGTGGTGAAATGATAGGAATACAAGCTTTATCACTTAAAATAATATGTAGTTTTTCTTCTGGGTGTGACTCAAGCCATTATGATGCAGCAGTTGATATGTATGTGAAGCAGCTATTTCATAAATAATTCTACATATCATAGTTTCCTTGGTATCTGTATGTGACTCCATTGATCTTAGTGACATGCATAGTGCAGAATGTGGAAAATCAATATATCATCTGCTCTCTATCGAGCGCTTGCAATTCACATCATACTAAAATCATATTTCTAATGTTGCTTACACTTTCAAATCATCGCTTTTTGTAATCAGCAATAGTCTTCAATTATTTTTCCATTCACCAATATGTGACTATTTCCTATTATTCAATGTCAACCATATTCCAAGAGACAGTAGAGACAAAACTGATTTACCCAAGTTCATCGCAGTATCTCTTGCACAGTTCTACTTTTTGTCTTCAGAGCTGGCCTCTGCTTAAGGGAGGGTGGGCCCTGGTAGGCAGCAGACTATGAAGCAGTTCTGTAAAACTAGTTTGATTTTTTTTCTTTCTTTCTTTTCTGAACCCATTTGATTTTAATGTTTTGGTGACAGGGCCCCTTTTAGGGACCTTGGGTAGTGAGTAACCTCAGAATCTCCTGATTTTTTTGAGTATGGTTCCAGTAAAGCCTCAAAACCAAGCAAATGAAATGACAAATCCACTGTCAACTGTAAAGCCTCCAGGCTATCAGCCTTATCATCTTTCTTAGTGGGGCACAATACCTGCCGGGTGTTTCAGACATTGAATACAAAAGTTGACTCAATGTCTGACGCATTGTTTTCACCTGAGACAGCAGTCAAGGATATTTCAGATTATTTTAGACAAATTGCCTATAAAAAAACCTGATGGAAGCACAAAGAATGAATGGTTTGGGCAACAAGGTATAGGCTTTTGAATGCCCAATCACGAAGCAAACAGCTCCTTTTTAAAGAGCTGTTTGAGGGCATATATTCTTAAAGATCATCTTAAAGATGTGTGAGTTGAGAAGGAGGGATAGCTGTAATAGGTGTTTAATCAGGGACTTTCAAATGTTCGGGGTGGAATCCATGGGTCCAGGCTGAGACAGACCTTGGCTGTGGAAGGGCCTATTTTGGTGCATTGAGTCAACCATCAATTTTGTTTTCTGAAACTAAATTAATATTTTTTTAAAACAGCAACAGTGTGCAGAGGAAAAGAAAACAAAATGGAGTGAGATGGCCACAATATGTAGTAAGAATCAATGCAATTGGCACCTTGTTGGACTCTTAGAGTCAAGGTCTCTTTCTGAGCATGCTTCTGGAAGGAGAAGGAAGGAGAATTGCAGACCACTGTTGCAGGCAAAGTGTCAAACAGTAACTTGAATAGGCTGTGTTAAATCTAAGGTTTTCTAATAGATGTACTTAATTTCACAAAATTGATCTTTATGTCTTCAAAGCAATTCTCTGTTTTTTAAGACTTAAAAAAAAAAAAAACCCAAAAA